TTGGAGTGAGTTAAACAAGTTAAGAAAGCCTAGAGAACGAATGGATTTGTCAGTTAAAAATAGGGTAGGGGAGTTAGTAGATGGGGAGATGGAGGTTTTGGGTAGATGGCAAGAATATTTGGAGGAACTTTTAAATGTCGATGAAGAAAGGTAAGCGGTAGTTTCATGCACTGGCCAGGGAGGTACACCATCTTTTAAGAGTGAAGAAGAACAGGATGTGAGTGTGGGGGAGGTGCATGAGGCATTACATAGAATGAAAGGGGGTAAAGCAGCTGGAACTGATGGGATCATGACAGAAATGTTAAAAGCAGGGGGGATATAGTGTTTGAGTGGTTGGTATTTTTGTTTAATGTATGAAAGAGGGGAAGGTACCTAGGGATTGACGGAGAGCATGTATAGTCCCTTTATATAAAGCGAAGGGGGACAAAAGAGATTGTAAAAATTGTAGAGAAATAAGTTTACTGAGTATACCAGGAAAAGTGTACGGTAGGGTTATAATTGAAAGAATTAGAGGTAAGACAGAATGTAGGATTGTGGATGAGCAAGGAGGTTTCAGAGTGGGTAGGGGATGTGTAGATCAAGTGTTTACATTGAAGCATATATGTGAACAGTATTTAGATAAAGGTAGGGAAGTTTTTATTGCTTTTATGGATTTAGAAAAGGTATATGATAGAGTAGATAGGGGAGCAATGTGGCAGATGTTGCAAGTACTGTATATGGAATAGGGGGTAAGTTACTAAATGTTGTAAAGAGTTTTTATGAGGATAGTGAGGCTCAGGTTAGGGTGTGTAGAAGAGAGGGTGACTGCTTCCCAGTAAAAGTAGGTCTTAGACAGGGATGTGTAATGTCACCATGGTTGTTTAATATATTTATAGATGAGGTTGTAAAAGAAGTAAATGCTAGGGTGTTTGGGAGAGGGGTGGAATTAAATTATGGGGAATCAAATACAAAATGGGAAGTGACACAGTTGCTTTTTGCTGGTGATACTGTGCTTATGGGAGATTCTAAAGAAAAATTGCGAAGGTTAGTGGATGAGTTTGGCAGTGTGTGTAAAAGTAGAAAGTTGAAAGTGAACATAGAAAAGAGTAAGGTGATGAGGGTATCAAATGATTTAGATAAAGAAAAACTGGATATCAAATTGGGGAGTAGTAGTATAGAAGAAGTGAATGTTTTCAGATACTATTTGGGAGTTGACGTGTCAGCAGATGGATTTATGAAGGATGAGGTTAGTCATAGAATTGATGAGGGAAAAAAGGTGAGTGGTACGTTGAGGTATATGTGGAGTCAAAAAACGTTATCTATGCAGGCAAAGAAGGGAATGTATGAAAGTATAGTAGTACCAACACTCTTATATGGGTGTGAAGGTTGGGTTGTGAATGCAGCAGTGAGGAGGCAGTTGGAGGCAGTGGAGATGTCCTGTCTAAGGGCAATGTGTGGTGTAAATATTATGCAGAAAATTCGGAGTGTGGAAATTAGGAGAAGGTGTGGAGTTAATAAAAGTATTAGTCAGAGGGCTGAAGAGGGGTTGTTGAGGTGGTTTGGCCATTTAGAGAGAATGGATCAAAGTAGAATGACGTGGAGAGCATTTAAATCTGTAGGGGAAGGAACGCGGGGTAGGGGTCGTCCTCAAAAAGGTTGGAAGGAAGGGGTAAGGGAGGTTTTGTGGGTGAGGGGCTTGGACTTCCAGCAGGTGTGCATGAGCGTGTTCGATAGGAGTGAATGGAGACGAATTGTATTTGGGACCTGACAATCTGTTGGAGTGTGAGGAGGGTAATATTTAGTGAAGGGATTCAGGGAAACTGGTTATTTTTATGTAGCTAGACTTGAGTCCTGGAAATGGGAAGTACAATACCTGCACTCTAAAGGAGGGGTTTCAGGATATTAGCAGTTTGGAGGGATATGTTGTGTATCTTTATACGTATATGCTTCTAAACTGTTGTGTTCTGAGCACCTCTGCAAAAAACAGTGATTATGTGTGAGTGAGGTGAAAGTGTTGAATGAAGAAAGTATTTTCTTTTTGGAGATTTTCTTTCTTTCTTGGGTCACCCTGCCTCGGTGGGAGACGGCCGACTTGTTAAAAAAAAAATGCAGTGAAGTGTTCCTTACCTTTATCTAGGTTCTGTTCACTTTCTAAGTAGTGTTCACTTGTATGGTTTCAATGTTACAGCGAGCCTCTTGTTATTACAAACACAAGTAGCAATTTAAGGCCTGTAGCACCTGGCCATAAACAAAAGTCAGCAATACAGTGGACCCCCGCATAACGCTATTAATCCGTTCCTGAGAGCTCAATGTTATGCGAAATTATCGTTATGCAAATTAATTTTCCCCATAAGAAATAATGGAAATCAAATTAATCCGTGCAAGACACCCAAAAGTATGAAAAAAAAAATTTTTTTACCACATGAAATATTAATTTTAATACACACAAACTTAAGAAAACTTGCACAGTTACATGACACTTACCTTTATTGAAGATGTGGTGATGATTGATGGGATGGGAGGAGGGGAGGGGACTTGAGGTGTCAAGTCCTTTTCATTTATCCACACCAATAACAGTCTCTCAACATCTTCTGTCACTTGCGATCTCTGTTTCGAAAGCACAGTTAAACCTTTGGCAAGAACAGCTTCCTTGATTGCCGTTCTCTCGGACACAATAGTAGCGATGGTTGATTGGGGTTTACTATACAACCTGGCCAGCTCGGAGACACGCACTCCACTTTCATACTTAGCAATGATCTCTTTCTTCATCTCCATAGTAATTCTCACCCTTATTCCTGTAGGGTTGGCACTAGAAGCTTTCTTGGGGCCCATGGTCACTTATTTTTCAGGTGAAATCACTATAAAAAGGCTGTAATAATTCAAAGTGTTCCGATTGTATGCTTGAATGTTACCGCGGAGGCTGGCTTGTAAACAATGCCACTGGCAGAACAAGTGAGGCTGGCTCAGGCCGCATGGACGCGTCTTGGACGAATCGCGTTGAGTGAATTTTTTAGCGCTATGCGAGGCAAAATTTTAGCGATAAAATGTATCGCTATGTGGATTTAACGCTATGCGATGCCAACGTTACACGGGGGTCCACTGTATATAGCAATGAACTGGGTAAGAATAGGGCAAGGTAAACACATCAGGGGTAGATTTCTTTACCCAAGTAATCCTTCACCGCTTATTTACAATATTTACAAGGTTAGGATATTAAGTTAGCAATACGTATAATGATGAGAGAGCCAAGAGTCTCTCAAGGCAACAAGTGTTGCAACCCCTGAATGGGTTACAATGATTATTATGTATATATAATGTATATTACCTTTTCATTTAATTTTATATTGCTTATATTTGCGATAATAGCTAAATCGTAAATGTATGACTTTATATTATTATTTGACTGTTATATTGTTATTTGACTTATGTTGTTAGGATGTACATAATATGTGCTCAGTTCAAGTCTTGATTGTCTAACTACTGTAATTATCGCTTGTCGCTCGTTATACTGCCGGCTTTTGAGCTGTGTTGTCCACGGGGCTATCACGTGATCGAGGGGGGGTGTCCTCACCTCTCGTGAAGTATTCAGTCTGCTCTAGACTCACTTGATGGTTGGACAGATTGTCTGTCTCATTATTCTTGTTAGTTCTGTAGAACTCTGTTCAGAGAACATTGTATAAACTTAGTGATTTTCGACGTTGTACTGAGGTTGTGTGTCACATAGACACTCTGAACATCTCAGGTCCCGAGCTATAGCTTCTGACCTAATTTTGTACTGGTTTCTGTGTATTGTCACAGTCAAGGTTTTTCCTATGCTGAACTTAGATTCAGTAGTATGGGAGTTTTGTAACTTTTGTGGAGGATCTGCTGATGGTCCCTGCTTAGTGTCGTTATATTATCTCCTTGATCCTGATTGTGTCGCTGTCGCTTGATATATGGCTATTGGGCTTAGCATTCTTTTCATTGTTCAAGCAGACTGTTCTGGTTGCCAGTCGGTCAAGAAGTTAGTTTATGTGAGGACTTTGTCAGTCACTAGTTTAAGTCTAGTCGAGTCTTGAGACATAGTGAACTACTTAGAGCACTTACACACATACACACTTACTTGTACATATTTGTAATATCTTATTAAATGTTAATGTACCAGACGGTACTTAAGAATTATAAATGTGATATGTGCTTTCAGCACAATAATATTGAACTCGAGAGATTGATTTTATTTTCATTGCTGTGATTAATTTAATTTGACAATATACCTCTAGACTTAATAAATTTATTAAATTTTAATTTCTCTAGTTAGTAGCCTACCAGTTGTAATCCTGAAGCTCTATTGAATATTACTGATTTCTAATGGATAATTGGACAAGGATACTGACTACTTGTTACGAAAACCCAGTAACAGGCTGGATGCTAGAAGGGCAGTCCTTTCTAGTATTCACTGGAGATCTCTAAGCTTTTAGAATCGCGTTTTTTGTAACAACGAGTGATTTCAACCAGAGCAGGCGAAAGTTGGCCTTCCAGCCGGGCAGGCAGGTGTTACATCACCTTGAGTTGAACTGGACAACAAAAACAGCAGTTTGCTGGTTGAGTGGGCATACGCATGATTGTGTGACGAACGTCGAATGAAGTGTAACACACTCAGCACTTGCCACACTTGTTCATCTAGGTACTTTGTACTTGTATGCTTCTAAGTAAACATTTGTTCAAAGTACTGTTCACTTGTATATTTCAACATTTCAGTGTAATTGCTTGCTTGTTCATTTAAATACTGTTTGCTGGTATGCTTCAGTGTAAGCAATTGTTCTACACATTCCCTACCATTCCTAAAACCTCCACTTTTCCTCTGTAATTCTGTGTTACTCATAATACTTTCAATATCATCTTTACCATACACTTTACCTGGTATACTCAATAGGCTTGTTTCTCTATAATTCTTACACACGCTGTGAAGGGATTATCACAGGATTTTCTAACGATGAAGTTATATTCTGTTTCTTTATTCATGTCCTTTCATTTCCTTACAGTACACTGCTGAATATGTCAAGGACAACCTCTTCCGTAACACTATAGAGAAGATTAAACAACTTCGAAGTCAAATATCATCAAATGATCAAGAAAGAAAATTTGAAAACGGCAATAACAATAATGTGGTACGAAACAATAGCAAGAACAGTGGTGGTGGTGGTGGGTGCACTGTCACTGCAAGTGGAAAAAAGTCAGAAAAGTATAGATCAGTTACCCAAGATAAAACTCAAATGAATGGAGCCAATAAAGAAAAACAAAATATGGTAAGTGATGAAAAGATTCAAAACAAGGATTTGCAAAGTAGCAGCAGTTTCGGCAAAACTAGTGAATCTGATTATCATCAGGAAAAATCAGACAAGGAAAAAGAGGTTCTAGAGAAATGCATTGTAGAGTCAAGTCAGAGTGAAAATTCGAAATCTGACAAGGAAGATTCCAAAGATATTTCACAGAAAGGAAGTGGCCTTGAAAATATCACTCAATGTAGTAGCCACAGTTCACCCGATTCTGATGTGCCAATGAAAAAAGATGACACCTACACCAATATTAATCTTGTGAAACGCAACTCAATCACCAATAGTGGTGGTGCAAATACAGGTATTAGCAAAGAGAAGAAAGAAGAAACTACAGGTACCTTTGATTCTGTGTATATAGACACTTACAAAAACATCAACTACACTCGCCTGCTGACTGACCAGATCATTGCTGTTGATAAGCAGGTGGTGGAAAAATGCAAGAGCAGAACAGACATGTCAGGTTAGTAAATACTTAAATAGTTCCTGCAGTTAAATCTTGTATATGATTCCACTGATTCAACATTTTAATTAAATGTACAGTAATGAAATAAAAAGTTTAGGAACTAAGCAAACATATTTTTGTTGTTAAGTAAAGCACAAGAGTATTTGCTGAAAATAGTCATGGGATCTCTAAAGTAGATGTCTTCAAAATAATAATTCACAAATCCTGCACATTTTTTTTAATGTTCACTTGTGTAAAAATGTAACCTATTTTGTGGCATAGTTATCTCGTCAATATTTTACTAAAAATATGGCAATTTATTTTTTTAGTATTTTAAAGCACTTGTTCATTTGTGGTGGCATATTTTTCAGAGATGCAATTTGTTGTATTGTATAGTAATTAAGGAACAGTGCAAGTTTTATATAGTCTAATAAAATTATGGAATTTTTGATGAATACAGTAGGGCCCTGCTTATATGGCAGGTTAGGTTCCAGGCTACCACCATAAAGTGGAACACCCCCTTTTTTTTTTTTTTTTTTTTTTTTTCTTATGAATGCATATAAATACTAGATGACAAGTTTACACTAACATACATTAAGTTAGCAGTAGAACTAGGCATTACACATATAGTACAGTACACTCATTACTTACCTCAAAATATTTGTAGTCCTTAAAATGTAGGGTGAGATGAGTAGTATTTATTGTAAGAAATCAAGTGTGGTATGTATGGTAGCCAATCAGGCTACCATAGCAGGCCATCCCACCCACACATAATATTCCATGACATAGAAAGTGTCCCAGACTGTTAAAATGCATATACAGTGGACCCTCGACTAACGCTCTTAATCCGTTCCTGAGAGCTCATCGTTAGTCAAGTTAATTTTCCCCATAAGAAATAATGGAAATCAAATTAATCCGTGCAGGACACCCCAAAGTATGAAAAAAAAATTGTTTTTACCACATGAAATATTAATTTTAATACACACAAACTGAAGAAGACATGCACAGTTACATGACACTTACCTTTATTGAAGATCTGGTGATGATTGATGGGATGGGAGGAGGGGAGAGTGTTGATGGTCTTAGTGTTTAGAAGGGGAATCCTCTTCCATTAGGACTTGAGGTGGCAAGTCCTAATGGGTTACTTCCCTTCTTCTTTTAATGCCACTAGGACCAGCTTGAGAGTCACTGGACCTCTGTCGCACAACATATCTGTCCATAGACGCCTGTACCTCCCATTCCTTTATGACATTTCTAAAGTGTTTCACAACATTGTCAGTGTACAGGTTGCCAACACGGCTTGCAGTAGCTGTGTCAGGGTGATTTTCATCAAAAAAGGTTTGCACTTTAAGCCACATTGCACACATTTCCTTAATCTTAGAAGTAGGCAATTCCTTCAATTTCTCTATCCCCTCCTCCGAAGCAGTTTCCTCAGGTGTGGCCTCTTGCTGTTGAAGATGATCTAGGAGCTCACCAGTGGTTAGTTCTTCATTGTCCTCCTCCACCAACTCTTCCACATCCTCCCCACTAACCTCCAACCCCAAGGAGTTCCCCAATGGCACAATGGATTCCTCAACTGGCATAGGATTCTCAGGGTTAGCCTCAAACTCTTCAAAATACCTTTTGTCTACACATTCTGGCCACAGTTTTTTTCCAAGCAGAGTTCAAGGTCCTCTTAGTCACTTCCTCCCAAGCCTTACCTATAATGTTTACACAATTGAGGATGCTAAAGTGATCTCTCCAAAACTCTCTTAGAGTCAATTGAGTTTCTGAGGTCACTACAAAGCACCTTTCAAACATAGCTTTTGTGTACAGTTTCTTGAAGTTTGCAATGACCTGCTGGTCCATGGGCTGCAGGAGAGGAGTGGTATTAGGAGGCAAAAACTTCACCTTAATGAAGCTCATGTCCCTAGAAAGTCGCTCTGCCAAGTCTGAAGGATGACCAGGAGCATTGTCTAATACCAGGAGGCACTTAAGGTCTAATTTCTTTTCAGTTAGGTAATTTTTCACAGTGGGGGCAAATGCATGGTGTAACCAGTCATAGAAAAAGTCCCTAGTGGCCCATGCCTTACTGTTTGCCCTCCACAGCACACACAAATTAGCCTTGAGATCATTGTTTTTCCTGAACACTCTGGGAGTTTCAGAGTGATACACCAATAAAGGCTTCACTTTGCAATTACCACTAGCATTAGCACAGAATAAAAGAGTAAGCCTGTCTTTCATAGGCTTATGTCCTGGGAGTGCCTTTTCCTCCTGAGTAATGTAGGTCCTGCTTGGCATTTTCTTCCAAAACAGGCCTGTTTCATCACAATTAAACACTTGTTCACAGGTTTCAGTCCTTCACTGTCTATGTACTCCTTGAATTCCTGCACATATTTTTCAGCCGCTTTGTGGTCCGAACTGGCAGCCTCGCCATGCCTTATCACACTATGAATGCCACTACTATTCTTAAATCTCTCAAACCAACCTTTGCTGGCCTTAAATTCACTCACATCACCACTAGTTGCTGGCATTTTTTTAATTAAATCGTCATGCAACTTCCTAGCCTTTTCACATATGATCGCTTGAGAGATGCTATCTCCTGCTATCTGTTTTTCATTTATCCACACCAATAACAGTCTCTCAACATCTTCGAGTACTTGCGATCTCAGTTTCGAAAACATAGTTGCACCTTTGGTAAGAACAGCTTCCTTGATTGCCGTTTTCTTGCCCACAATAGTAGCGATGGTTGATTGGGGTTTTGTGTACAACCTGGCCAGCTCCGAGACACGCACTCCACTTTCATACTTAACGATGATCTCTTTCTTCATATCCATAGTAATTCTCACCCTTTTTGCTGTAGGGTTGGCACTAGAAGCTTTTGTTGGGGCCCATGGTGACTTATTTTGCAGGTGCAATCACTACAAACGCTGTGATAATATGAAATGTTCCGATTGTATGTTTGGATGAGACCATGGTGGCTGGCTGGCTTGTAAACACTGGCACCCACGGGACAAGTGAGGCACGCTCAGGCCAAAGTGGACGCATCTCGAACGGAACAAATAGCGTTGGTCGGGTTTTTTAGCGCTAGTCGAGGCAAAATTTTTGTTAAAATGTATCGCTAGTCGGATTTAAAGTTAAACGATGCCAACGTTGGTCGAGGGTCATCTGTACAGAGGACCCCCGGTTTTCATAATTAATCCATTCCAGAGAGGGTGACTAAACCCGAATCTGACGAATTCCGAATTAATTTTTCCCATAAATAATGGAAATCCAATTAATCCGTTCCCAAAAGTATTACAAAACAAAATATCTTTTTTACATTAAATATACATTTCCCTACACAGAAAACAGGCATGCAAAATAAAACAATACTAAAATGACGCTTGCCCTTATTGATGAGTGATGAGACAGGAGGAGGGTAGAGGATGCAGGTGTACTATTGTTTGGAAAGGTAATCCCTTTCCATAACGACTTCAGATACCAAGTCTTTTTCCGGGGTTACTTTCCTTTTTTGTTTTTTAATGCCACTAGGACCAGCTTGAGTCTCACTGGACCCCTGTTGCTCAAAAAAGTGTTCCAGAGAGGTCTGTATCTGGCATTTCTTTAAAACTTCCCTAAAATGGGACACAACATTGTCATTGTACATGTTGTCAACACGGCCTGCAACAGCTTTGTCAGGGTGATGTTCATCCATAAATATTTGCACCTTTGTCCACATTGTACAAATCTCCTTAATCTTTGAAGAAGGCACCTTCCTCCGTCTCTCCTCCTCCTCCTCTGAAGCAATTTCCTGAGCTGTGGTCTGTTGCTGTTGCAGATGAAGCTCTTGCAGCTCTGTGGTGGTTAGCTCTTCATCATGGTCCTCCACCAACTCTTCCACATCCTCGACACTTGCATCCAACCCCCATGGAATTCCCTAATGCCACAGAACTTTCCACAACTAGCATAGGCTCCTCAGGATCAGCCCCAAACCCTTCAAAATCCCTCTCTTGTACACATTGTGGCCACAGTTTTCTCCAAGCAGAGTTCAAAGTCCTGGAAGTCACTTCCTCCCAAGCCTTACCTATAAGGTTTATGCAATGGAAGATATTGAAGTGGTCTTTCCAGAACTCTCTTAGGGTCAATTCAGTGTCTGGGGTCACTTGAAAGCACTTTTGAAACACTGCTTTGGTGTACAGTTTTTTGAAATTTGAAATAACCTGCTGGTTCATGGGCTGGAGGAGTGGTATTAGGGGGCAAGAACTTCACTTCGATGAAGTGAAACTCCTGCACCACTTGCTCTTCCAAGTCTGGAGGATGAGCAGAAGCATTGTCCATTACCAGGAGGCACTCGAGTTCCAATTTATTTTCCGGGAAGTATATCTTCACACTGGGGCCAAACACGTCATTAAACCAATCAGGGGAAATGTCCCTCGTGACCCATGCCTTACTGTTTGCCTCCCACATCACACACAATTTACTCTTGACGACACTGTTTTTCTTGAACACTCTGGGATATTCAGAGTGATACACGAGTAAAGGCTTCACTTTTGAAGTCCCCACTTGCTTGTCTTTCATAGGCTTGTGTCCTGGGAGTGCCTTTTCCTCCTGAGTAATGTAGGTCCTCTTTGGCATTTTCTTCCAAAAGAGGCCTGTTTTGTCACAATTGAATACTTGTTGGGGTTTAAATTTTTCATCCTCTATGTACCCCTTTAAGTCCTGAACATATTTTTCAGCTGCTTTTTTGTCAGAACTGGCAGCCTCACCATGCCTTATCACACTGTATGCCACTACAATTCTTAAATCTCTCAAACCAGCCTTTGCTGGCCTTAAATTCACCAATATCAGCATTAGTTCCAGGCATTTTCTTTAAAAAATCATCATGCAACTGCCTTGCCCTTTCACAAATTATTGACTGCATAACACTATCTCCTGATAATTGTTTCTTGTTGATCCACACCAACAACAAAGTCTCCACATCTTCCAGTATTTGCAATCTCTGTTTTGTAAGCATATTTGCATCTTTCACAACAACAACATCCTTGATTTCCTTTCTC